AAGGTAAAATGACAGATGAGAGATTTATAAATGATAGACATAAAAGACAGATAGTTAAACACATAAATGATAGGACACTGACAGACAGACAGGATAGATAGACAGACAGACAGATAAGACTTATTAACGATAGACAGAAAAGACAGACAGAAAAACGTATAAATGATAGGACAGACAGACAAATAAATATATAGATATTCCTCACTGTCCAATCAGAATTAACAGGTCAGGAGTTACTCACAACAAAACAAAACAACACCTTACTTCTGAGTTCAACACCCATTGCGTAAGTGTTCATCTTTCACGTTCATCTTTCCAGGGACACTGCCAGAAGCACAGTTCAAAGACAATTATAATGTCTGTGCGGCTAATAGACATCTTGGCATATCCAAATGTGTGCATATCCACATCTTGTGCTGTAAATAATATTTCACATGTGCTAAATGCCTCATAAGCAAAAATAGAAACCGTTATCCCTGCAGGCTTCTTCACAATAGCAGGTTATTTGCCTTTCAGTGTGTCAGAGGGTAAAGGTCAGTAAACTTGGGGACGAACTGAATCGGTTTACTTGAGGACTAGCAGCAGCTACAAGAACTTCTTCACACACAACGAGATGCCACAAAAAAAGAAAGTTCAAGCACATATTTACCCCGCAAGCTGCTGTCTGGCATAGTCGGCATTCAAAAATATGCTTGCATCTGCAGTGCAGACATTAGACATTAACAGGAAGGTGTTGAAGTCTGAAGGTGTTCACTGATAACAGTACTTGGAGCAGATGCTCAAACCACAGAACTCCAGCTTCCTTTGAAGGGCCTAAAACCACATGGAAGCAAGCAAACAAAGTCTACAGCTTCGAGGTCCCACCCTGACGCTTCCTGTCCACGGAAAAGCTTCCCAAACCTGCCACTGCAAATACAGGAAATTGGAAACCCAGCTTAGGCAAGACGAGTGCTTTGCAACAGAGGTAGAATTGAACTTCAGTCTTCACCCCCTTTAGTCTCAAAACACTTGTGGTGTACTCTCTGTGGACTCGTATGCCAAACACACAGCTTCCTGTTAAAGGTTTACGGTTGTGGATGTGATTGGTGAATGAAGCCTTCAGGGAGCTGCACGTGTAGGCATAAACGCTCTAGAGTAATTTGTTAACAGCCCCAGGGAGTCAAGGCAGTGCCTGACCTCTGAACGAGACGGTGGAGTCCACGGTGCACTAGGAAAACAGAAAATACATCTATTCACTGAAACTTGACCCGCCACCATCATTTCCTGCCCCGATTAATCACCCACAACAAACACAACAGTCAGGAAAAAAGCAGCCAGGACAGTAGTTTGCTCCTGAACGTAGCCAGTCCTTACCGTCACGTCTAGACGGCTGGAAGACAGATGGACCGCTGAGGCTGTCGGCTAATGGTGAGTGCAAAATATCATGACTAACACAAGAGGCTTTCAATAATGAGCTGCTTTCAGCCGACGGTCTTCATCACGTCTGAGTGGCCTCCATTCCGGCTCTAATGATCTGCAGACTCTTGGGCTGCTTGCTTCAGTTAAGAAAGACCAAACAAAGAGGTCTGTCTTCCTTGACGCTCCTCTGGCGGTGCGTTTCGAAAGCAGCATCGTTTTTTTTGGACACAAAGGAAACGTGTATCCTATGAATCTTTTATTGTAAAGGGACAGAATTATGTCCAAGACATGAGTCACAACTTAATTTAAGGGTTCGGTTGTACGTGCAAGCTTGACATCCTTTGCTTCAAACATAAGAATGTCCCCAAGTTTTACTAACTAACAACTTGGGATTGTCCTCTCATATACTAAAATCGTGCAGCCCTTGCAGAATGGCATAAATAGAAGATAGTCTTCCAACGGGTATCAATTCCCTTCCGCTCTCTCTGGACTTGCAGAGTCAAGGTACGAAATGTCACAAACGTGATCATTTTGACGAACGCAAGGTGACAGCTTGAAGCAACTCTATTTAGACAATTGTAGGTGCTTGTAAGGTTTCATTTTGCCTGAGGCCTGAAGTGAACTAGTTCTTGAGTATGGGCTGCACCCACAACTGTCAAAAGATCCCATCCTGAGCCACTAGAAAGAAGTGTTTTCATGGTCATGTTTTCTTTTGAACCTGCGAACCAAAACAAAGTCTTTGGTACACCGCAAAAGTGGGTTTCTCTTCGTTTCAATTCAGATTAATAAAAGGTTAGGAGACGTAACGTTGCAGAAACTCCATGCTGGGCTGACATTCTGTTCTCCACTCTCCGAGTCCTCAGGAAATCCAGGCTCGCGTATGGGAGTCACATCCTTCAATTGTTGTCGTACATGAGATCAAGAAGCGCACAGAGAAGGAAGTCAGTGAGCTATTGTGCGCCAAGTACACAAACAAACAAAAATTAGTTTTGGTTAGAAAATATAGGTTTGGCAATAAAACAGAAGATCGATCCTGAAGGCTTTGATTCTTGTGGCATTTCGGGGCTGAAGAACAACGAATCCAGAAATGTGGGAAAATGTCGGGTAGGCACTCATCAATGTGAAGTACGGAGGTCAGGATTTCCCTTGTTCTTCCCCCAGAAACTCAACACCATCCCAAAAGAGTTGTTATCGCACAAACATCTGCAGCCTGAGCAAATCAAGCCCTGTGACGGTAGCACAGCCATCCAGCTGGACTGACCCCGCCAGACTGTTTGCAACAAGTGATGATGAGTCACTAGCACTGCGAAATATGATGGAGAACTCAATGTTCAGTGCTTGTAAACATCATCCCTGTGACCCTGATTGCAAGATACCACAGTGTGCACAACCCATCACATCTAAGGTTGAAAATGTAGAAACATACAGTACAAATTTATCTCAAAACTAGCACAGAATGAAATGGAGATATGTACCTTGCTTTATCTGTACAGTCACTCTTATGTGTGTTTTTGTACGTAAACTGATATGGTTTTAAATGTGTGGCCAGATCCAGTAGAGAAAATTTACCATCTGTACAATGTGTACGTGCATGTTTGTGCACTCTGGTCGCATGACACTGTTTACATTGGCAAAACCTTGCTTTCTCACTCTTGATATCAGTCACTGGAATTAATGTGTGCAAGTCCGGAATTTATATAGAGTAAAAGTACCATGATTAGGGCATAAAAACTATTTGAGTTCCTGATTCAAGTTATCAGCTGATCTCAATTTTGCAATAATCTTGATACCACTAACTGGTAAGCTGATATGAAAGAACAACGAACAGTACTTTACAGAATTGACTAATCTTGATTAATGTTAATTTTTACTTGTGCTAAAATATTTCTATTGTATAAATTACCATTAGTTGAATGAAATTGAATTAACGACAAACAATAGCGAATTTATGAATGAAAGTTAACCAGTGTTAATGAACACTGGGCCTTATGTAGTTTATGATAAACAATGCATTAAATTTACTGTAAAGTGCATTCCCGATGGCAAACAAACTAAAACCACCGTGCTGACTATTTAGCACACCATTAATCTCTCAGCGTTTACTTGCTCACTCTCCCACATTAAAAAGACACACACTCCATGTCAAGTGGTTTCTTACCGGCTCCTTCCTCCCGACCACAGAGAACCACATGGTGCTGCGCTCCGGAGTCGAGAATGAACTGAGGAATCAACTAATAGCAGTCCAGGAAAACTTATTCAACTCTTTCAAAAGCAGGCAGGTCTACTGAGGAGCGACTCCCGGGCTACATGCTAAACACAATATGCAAATATCTGAAGCCAGAGTAGGAAATACCACATCCAGACTGTTATGTAAGAGAAACTCCCACGACTCACTAACAGTTAAGTGAAGTTTTAGCGGTGCTCCCAGCTGTGTCCCAGCTCAACACCGGGACAAACCGCCTCTCCTCTTTAGATCCTCCCCTTTGTCCCAGAGCATGCCTTACACCCCTTTCTTTACTCCTCCTTTCCTTCTCCTCCCATTTTTCACTCCTTCCCTCCCTTCTTTTCCTCCGTTCTACCTCTACCAAACTTTATGCTTCCTCGGAGACACTCACAGATGAAAATAGAAGCACTAAAGGGGAGGTTTTGCTATGAAAATAAACAGTTCCTGTCCCCTTCTCCTCCCACTACACCTCCCTTGCTTGCCTCTTCTCTGTCCCTAAACCTGAAACACATCTGGTGGGAAAAACGCTCTTCAGTCCACCAAAAGTGGTGAAACACAGGCTACTGAACTGCAACTGTCTGTTCCCACTAAAAAAAAATCCCAATTTGAAAAAGAAAGAAATATTTACTTGCACAGTAAAATTGTAAACTGGTCCATGTTGGATCTGAAAGCACTTTCTAACAGCATATTAGTCATACTAGTAAGTTTAGAGTATAAACAAAACCTTAATTTGCAATGTTGACATCGAAACTAACAAAACGAATCAAAACTTTTTATGCTTGACAAGCCCAACTGGTGGAATCATGCAAAACATATAATATTTTAGCTTATTAACTGTGCTGTAAACTCCAACATAAAAGACTGCATTTTGTAAAAGGGGTGACGACACAGAAGACATTTCCTACTGCGGAAAGCAGCAGACTAGAACAGTGCTCAGTCCGACAAGGAAACAGAAAGATTTGCTAATGACTCTGTTTTGTATTTGAATGTTTGACAAGCACACAGACCAGCTTGTGACTGAATCAAACAAAAGCATGTCCTCTTGAAAGGACATCCCTGTTATGATCTGAGCCTAGGAAACCATGCCACACCTTTACTTCCCACTCAGAATATAGCACCCACCAACATCAGAAACCAAAAACCAATCCTCAAAAAGTTTAAATTGTTCTCATTAACTGTGTCAAACTAATCAGATCTAGTTCTATGCCAAAACCAGATGCCCTCCTCAAGGATTTAGGGTTTCATTCACTTACTCTCTAGATCAATTTTTATCACTGCTACAGCGGTCAGATCCATGCAAGATGATCACAGACTTTGAAAGTGGAGTAATATTACACAATAAACATCACTAAAAAGAAATAAAATAATCAGTTCTTACCTTGGCCGCCACAATACTGAGGCCCATCCCATTGTGTTTCTTCAAAGTCACTGTCGCAATTTCCGGTTCCTTCCGCATTGGCTGTAGAGAGAGCAGACAGGTGATTTAACTTGGGGGGAAAAAGTCACTATTGTAACTTCAGCTTTAGGTCCACGCTGCGTCTGGTGGCTGTTCCTAGAGCAAACTGAGCTAAGAGGAGGAGAAGGAGGAGAGAAAATTAGGGAGGTTCTGCTACTGCTGGTTCTCAGAGCACAGCCGACCGCAGAGCGAAACGGCGGGCGCTGGAGACGAGTCAAGAATGAAAGCCACATGCGTCGGCTCCAGAGTGCATCAGGCCTCAGTGGGCTCGCTTACGCACAGGCAGGGCCTGGGAGAAAGAGACCAGCTTTTCGTGCCATGGCCTCTCCTTTAGCGAGCCAGAGTGCGTAAATGGTGCACATGGCATGCATTCATTGTACAGGGAACTTTAGCTATGCTGCCAGTCCGCATTGTTGAGTACAGCTTGGTGGGTGAGAGCAGAGCTGGTTTAAAGCACAGTGGAGCTTTATGAACACTGATGGGTAATGCAAGGAAACTCTTTGGGTTCCTTTGGTAAGGTTTACGAAAGCAACAGGGCAAGCTTTTTTAGCTTTGTTAAAGCATGTTTCCTTCGAAAAGGATTTTCTGGCATAGCTATCTTAATGAACGCATAGACTACTAGAATCACAACTACAACATTCACCAAAAACAGTGTCTAAATACCCATTTTGCTATTGGTCAACATTTTTTCTGGCCTAGATGATGTCTGTCAAAAAGGAAAGATGCTTCAAGTGATCACTTGATTATAAACATTTTTTTTTTATCTTTAAAATAATGTGTGGGAATGCACAGTACATCCAGAAACTGCAAACAAGGTCGATTTTGATTTCATGCCAAAATCTCATGTGTACAATATGTGAGTTTACGGTAAGCATTGGTCCTGGGATGGCTGTAAGAAAGGGATGTGGGAGTGGGTGGGTTGGTTTGGCACACGATCAAGCTGCGTTCATCAGATTTCTGTGGTATTTAAATGTGTTCTGAGCTCCAGCTCTGTCTGCTGTAGGGCGGACAGACATTATGTAATTTTTTTTTAAAAAGATTATGATATTACGTAAAAAAAAATCCCTTATGTAAAAATATGAGACAGTAAAAACAGACTAATTACAGGGGAGGAGGAGCATTTAAGGGCTTTGTGTGTTCAGGGTAAGGAAAAAGATATAATTTACAGCCAGTGCTTGGGCACTATGGTCAAATATTGCCCTCTGTGGTGTAACTAGTGTTGGTTGGAATATAAGAGAATGTTAACTTGACAGAACACACTATCAACTGACATTAAATATTCCCTGGTGCCGTCTTGCAAATATCTGTTTAGTATTTGGGTTTTATATATAAAATTCAAATTCAAATGCAAAATTCTGTTTTCTGATGCCCTCAAAGACAAATCCATCTACAAATCTATCCATCTATCTATCTATCTATCTATCATCTATCTATCTATCTGGCATAAAAACTTCTTCAAAGTCACTGTCGCAATTTCCGGTTCCTTCCGCATTGGCTGTAGAGAGAGCAGACAGGTGATTTAACTTGGGGGGAAAAAGTCACTATTGTAACTTCAGCTTTAGGTCCACGCTGCGTCTGGTGGCTGTTCCTAGAGCAAACTGAGCTAAGAGGAGGAGAAGGAGGAGAGAAAATTAGGGAGGTTCTGCTACTGCTGGTTCTCAGAGCACAGCCGACCGCAGAGCGAAACGGCGGGCGCTGGAGACGAGTCAAGAATGAAAGCCACATGCGTCGGCTCCAGAGTGCATCAGGCCTCAGTGGGCTCGCTTACGCACAGGCAGGGCCTGGGAGAAAGAGACCAGCTTTTCGTGCCATGGCCTCTCCTTTAGCGAGCCAGAGTGCGTAAATGGTGCACATGGCATGCATTCATTGTACAGGGAACTTTAGCTATGCTGCCAGTCCGCATTGTTGAGTACAGCTTGGTGGGTGAGAGCAGAGCTGGTTTAAAGCACAGTGGAGCTTTATGAACACTGATGGGTAATGCAAGGAAACTCTTTGGGTTCCTTTGGTAAGGTTTACGAAAGCAACAGGGCAAGCTTTTTTAGCTTTGTTAAAGCATGTTTCCTTCGAAAAGGATTTTCTGGCATAGCTATCTTAATGAACGCATAGACTACTAGAATCACAACTACAACATTCACCAAAAACAGTGTCTAAATACCCATTTTGCTATTGGTCAACATTTTTTCTGGCCTAGATGATGTCTGTCAAAAAGGAAAGATGCTTCAAGTGATCACTTGATTATAAACATTTTTTTTTTATCTTTAAAATAATGTGTGGGAATGCACAGTACATCCAGAAACTGCAAACAAGGTCGATTTTGATTTCATGCCAAAATCTCATGTGTACAATATGTGAGTTTACGGTAAGCATTGGTCCTGGGATGGCTGTAAGAAAGGGATGTGGGAGTGGGTGGGTTGGTTTGGCACACGATCAAGCTGCGTTCATCAGATTTCTGTGGTATTTAAATGTGTTCTGAGCTCCAGCTCTGTCTGCTGTAGGGCGGACAGACATTATGTAATTTTTTTTTAAAAAGATTATGATATTACGTAAAAAAAAATCCCTTATGTAAAAATATGAGACAGTAAAAACAGACTAATTACAGGGGAGGAGGAGCATTTAAGGGCTTTGTGTGTTCAGGGTAAGGAAAAAGATATAATTTACAGCCAGTGCTTGGGCACTATGGTCAAATATTGCCCTCTGTGGTGTAACTAGTGTTGGTTGGAATATAAGAGAATGTTAACTTGACAGAACACACTATCAACTGACATTAAATATTCCCTGGTGCCGTCTTGCAAATATCTGTTTAGTATTTGGGTTTTATATATAAAATTCAAATTCAAATGCAAAATTCTGTTTTCTGATGCCCTCAAAGACAAATCCATCTACAAATCTATCCATCTATCTATCTATCTATCTATCATCTATCTATCTATCTGGCATAAAAACTTACCAGTTCCGACGTGTCAGCTGAGAAGTGACTGTCGCAATCAGCTCCTTCAAAATAGATGGTCCAAGTTCCTGGAGAGCGTGGATGAGGTGTCAATCGACAAAAACCTGGAGGACAACGAGCAGATCAGAACACATCCACTAAACGTTAAAACTTTAAATCCACTGGTCTCTCACTGTCTTTGTCACACACCTGTAAAAACACACTCTCACTCTCTTGCAAAAACAAATAGACTGCTGAACACAACCTTAACAAACCACATTCCACTAGCATCACGTCAGCCTTAAACAAACAAAGACAACAACCTCTGATTCACCATCCACCTGATACTTATTGTGCACACCGCAACTGACATCAAATGCTCTGAAACTTATTCAGAATGGCAGCACTCTGTTTATCATCCATACCTCTCTGGCAAAGCGGCTCTAGGAACTCTTGGAATCCGTTAGGAATGTTCCGCACCACGTCACATGAGTAGCCATCCTCGGGCAGTAGGAAAGGCAGCTGGAGGTCAGGGTCCTCTTCAAGCTGTACTTCCCGCCCATCGCTTCGGGCCAGTTCGTCCGCCGTGTTCTCGGCCACAGCCACCACGTGATCAATCAGCTCCTGTGAGCATGAAGGGGACAATGATCATAATGTTACATAAGAACTCTAGTAAAACTTGACATGCTGCTGCTCTTCTCCTCAATCTCTGATTTGCTTTGAAGAGTGAGTTTTGGAAAGATGGGGTGCATCTAATTTAGTCTGGGAGATGTTCCAGAACAGCTAACATCAGTTACAGCACCTTTTACAGTAATGAGTTTAATATTTCACATCAAACAAGAAGGTCACATTATGAGAAACCCTGAGGTTAGAGGAAATAAGCAGAGCTACTGTGAAAGTGCAGAACACCTGGTTCGGTTTATCTCAAAAATGACATGTCATCAGACCAGGACTACACAGCCAAAATGAGACAGTTCACTCACAGGAGGAATGTAGGGTTCATCAGGAGCGCAGTGGTAGTTGCTCAGCAGAGCGTTGAGCTGCAGAGAGTTGAGCTTGAAGCAGGTGTTGTTGATGTTCTGCACATCTTGCATGGAGTATTTGTCCATGGTGAGGAGGGTCGTTGCCTAGAGAGACAAGGGGACAGTTACTGGTTTATAGTCCATCTAACTAGGACTGTGAGTTTTAAAACTTTTAGGCCAAGTGCCACCTTCGTTTAAACTAAAACATCCTAGAAGTACTATGTAGACACTACCAATATTCTCTCCCAGAAAGAATATAGTCTATGTATTAGCATGTTATACAGACAAATCTATATTAAAATGGTATATATTACAAATAAGAAAAAGTAAATAAAAAATATTATATTTAATTTTAATAAACATACTATTTACCACTAGTAGTTCTACTACTACTACTACTAATAAAGTCTTTTAGTATTGTATATGTTCACCACAGGTTTCTACAATAATACAGTTATATGTATATAGTTTGTTTGCACTAAATTTGCTGTTGGGAAAAATAAAAACTCCTCAATTTGTCACTTGACAGCAAAGTCAAATATCAAAAATCATTTTTTTTTTTTTTTTTTAGAGTTCTTCGGTGTTATGTTCTACAGCTTCAGTTTCGGAACTTTCATGCTTAGTAACACATACAGCTGTGCTCTCACCACAGTGCAACAGTGAAAAGATACCCCTCTCAAACAGTATTGCGTTCCGAACGTTGTTTAAACGACATACACCGGTATTGTGGTATTTTAAAAATTCATATCGTAAGAAAAATAAACATGGTATTTGGTATAAACCGGTATACCGCCCAGCACTACTAAATTGCTAAAAGGTGTCTGTAAGGGATTGGTTAGAGTGCAGTAAACATAATTAGTTTAGCCTATAGCTTAACTTAAATAGCTTAACTATAAATGCAACTCTGTGAAAGATTGGTGTATATATCTGCATGCGGTACCTGGACTATGCGACTGAGGTGGCAGTCTGCGGCCAGCTCCAAACCCTGTTTCTCAGCCCACGCCTCGATGTGGCTGAGCTGCTGTCGCAGGATGGCGCCCCAGTAGTGCGAGCACAGGCCTGAGTCAGCCTCCGTCACCAGCTTGTTAAAGAGCCACATGTTGATGAAGTGGAAGAGCTGCGAAAAAAGCTGAATGGTGAGGGCCGCATTGACACGGCACCGCCGCAGAAGAGACATGGCGCCCGTTAGCGTGTGCAGAACGTCCTCTGTGGAAAAGAGGAAAGTCAGGGCCTTTAATGCAATATAAACAGAAACAATACCATCATACCTTTATTTACTTTACTTGCAATTATAATGGTGCAATGTTGAGAACTAGCCCTATTAGCTGGAACAGATATTTATACAAAAGGTTGAAAAACATTTAAAATACATGTTTTTTTATATTCTCCTTGAACGCATGTTTTTTTTTCTTTTTGTGGGTGGTCCCTGATGTGCATCACATTGTTCCTTGTCAAAGGGGTTAGGAAACACTCTTCTAGAGAACTAAAAGCGCTGCTATATTGCTTAAGATGTTTTGCATGGTTCTGGTTAATTTCAGCATATTTCTGCGTTGCTTAAGATGTTGATACTGCTCTAGTCAAGAGGGCATGTTTGTCCATTTGTCCAAGTCATTTAGTTGAAATAGACTTGTCTTGTTAAGACTACTTAAAATTCTACAATGCCCAAGACAACAAAGAAATTAAGATGTTGTAAGTTCCTGTAAAGGGTAGAACAGAACTTTGGGTAGAATATATCTGCTGTTTAGTTTCAAAACCACCTAACTAGGTGGTCCCATATAACTCTTTCAATTGTGATTCTAACTTTTGTCCTTTAACAAAATCCACTAATCTACTCATCTTTATACATGATAGATGAAAAACTGCATCTGTTGATGAATCTTGCACAGTTACTAAACTGAACTAAAGCAATACTGAACTGACTTGAGCTGAATAATGACACCATTGTCTTAGAGCAGCTTTACATGGCAGAATTTGTTTATTCCTTTATCAGTTTATAACCTAAAGCTGCTCTTTATACTGTTTTATATAAAGCACTATATAAATAAAGGTGACTTGCATCTGAAAACATGGGACTGGGTCTCTGCTCACCTATCTTGGGCCTCTGTGGGTTCTGTTCATCGGGATCTTCCAGGAAAGCTGGCATGTAGTTATTCAGATCTGACTGCAAGCAGTGCACCAGGTATCTGCAGGAACACACATTATTTAGCGTCCATATATCCACCATCAAGGGCCTAAAGGAACTTCCTGAAGAATCCCACAGTAAATCTGAGACCTGGCCGCTTCACTAACCGCACGACCCGCACAAAAGCGCAGTTGTTTCAGCTGGTCATTCGAGTGCTTAAAGGAAACGGAGGCGCTCTGACGTCCGACCACATTGTTTGTGCTGAAAACCGGCCCCAGGACCATAACTCTCTCTCATACACTCAAACTACAGCTCAGCCAATACAAGCCAGACCCAGAACATTCCTTACATTCAGCACATCCTACCGCCTGATAATGGTTACAGAAACACAGTATGAACTTATTTTACAAATCACTTTTGTAATTGACCAATTACAATTAAATTATGTAATGATCAATTACAATTAAATGGATTGTTTTCACATGATTAAATAGCCCTGAAATTTAGCTAGAATGTCATATTTAAAGGTCAAATTAGCATTTTATTTACAATATTTAATTTAAATACATATTTATTTTATAACATTTTATATAACAAACATGTTTTTTTGTTTTTAATTGAACATTTTATTTACTCTATATACACTACTTGGTTAATATATTACACATACATACATACATACGTACATACGTACATGCATACATACATGCATAGACTTGAGACTTGCTTGACAAATATTCATAAAAGACTTGACTTTGACTTGATATTCATGACTTGAGACTTGACTCGGAGTTGAGTTAAATGACTCGAAATAACTTGTCTTTCATTCAATAAATATCCGTTTGTTTTTGAACGCACCGCAACCTAACCAAGTGACGCAGCAGGCAAGCAGAGCGTGCGCAGTGTTGCCAACTTAGCGACTTTGTCTATAGATTTAGCGACTTTTTTCCCCAAAAAAAGCGCCTAGCGACTTCTTGGACAAACCTTATTTAGTTTCTGAGACTCGCCGGTACTGCCGCACGAGTGCGAGGTCTTGCTTTCCCAGCGCGCACATCTCTCTCTCTGCGTCTGCTCTGTTCAGTGAGCGGCTGAGAGTAGCAGTGCTTTAGGTTAAACAAGATATTCTGTTACTTCTAACTCTATTTTACATGCAAATATAGCTGAAATCACAGCACAGCCATTGTCTTTATCTTATGTGTATTTGATTTCATTAGACGACGTCGTGATTATGAATCAGGATTTTTGTGCAGATTAACATCTAACGGAGAGCTGGTAGTCTTAATGGGCCGCATTTCAGTCTCTATTTCATATTCATCCCGTTGTCTTACAACAGAAACAGAAAAATATACCAGTGAAAACAGTTTTATTGATAATTTGGCTGCACTAAAATACAGTTTGTGAGCACTATCAAATGTATTTTTTTGCAAGTGGAATGCATTGTAAATGGTTATTCACTGTTTATGAGGAAATGTCAGCTTTTTTTGGCAGTAGCACTTAGTATATGCATGTGTACAGTACAGTGTCTAATAATTGGTCTTCAGTGTTAGACTTTGAGTGAAAAGCCTATGGATAGTTCATGGGGATGCATAAAAGAAAAAAATCATACAGTTGCGAACCCAACCATGCATACACAAACAAACAAACAAAAAAAACTCAAACTTGCAAGCACAACCATGCACACTCATACACATGCACACACATTCACTCACAAATATTAATAAATCACACTCACTCAAATAACCTCTCTCTCTCTCTCTCTCTCTCACACACACACACACACACAGATTAATAATGTACATTATAAACAGGTGCAAGGGTTGTGTGATTCAATTATTAATATTTTTTCTTGTTGTTGTTATTCTTTTGTTAAAAAGGAAGGATCTAACTTAAGGATGTGTTCATGTCCCATAAAGGTGATGCATGTTTGAAGAATGCCATTTGGTGGCACAGAAACCATTTTACTTGAATTGTTTTATTGAGAATTTGGCTGCATTAAAATACAGTTTGTGAGCACAATCAAATTTTTTTTTTTGCAAGTGGAATACATTGTAAATGGTTATTCACTGTTTATAATGAAATGTCAGCTTTTTTTGGCAGTAGCACTTAGTATATGCATGTGTACAGTACAGTGTCTAATAATTGGTCTTCAGTGTTAGACTTTGAGTGAAAAGCCTATGGATAGTTCATGGGGATGCATAAAAGAAAAAAATCATACAGTTGCGAACCCAACCATGCATACCCAAACAAACAAAACAAAAACAAAAAACTCAAACTTGCAAGCACAACCATGCACACTCATACACGTACACACACATTCACTCACAAAAAAATTAATAAATCACACTCACTCAAATCACCTCTCTCTCTCTCTCTCTCACACACAC